GGTGGTTGATTGATTGATTGATTGATTACATGCCATCAAATTGTTGTCGACTCTTAGCAACCACATAGATAGATTTTCTCCATAATGATATATCCCTAACCTAGTCCTTCAGGTCTTCCAACGGTGACTCATCACCACTGTAACTGAGTCTGTTCACCTTGCTGCTGGTCATCCTCTTCTCTTTCCTTCCACCTTTCCCAGCATTACAGCCTTCTCCAGAGAGCTAGGTCTTCACATAATGTGGGCAAAGTAGGATAATTTGATTCTAGTCATTTGCACCTCGAGTGAGAACTCTGGGTTGATTTGTTTGATGATCCATTTGTTTGTTTTCTTGGCTGTCCATGGTATTCTCAGGAGTCTTCTTCAACACCAAAAGTTCAAAAGCATCAGTACTCTTACTATCTTGTTTCTTCAAAGTTCCAACTTTCACTTCCATAGAGTGTCATAGGGAATACTGATTAAATATTTTTTGTATCTTTGATTTATCTGTTATTATGGTGTTTCCATCTTGTAATTTTAATATCATGTTTTTTTCTCTTTTTCTTTCCTTAGTTTATATGCCGACCATTTTCCTGGCTTATTTGCAAATTCAAAATTCTTTTGTTTAGCATAATTCATTTTTATTCCATTTCTCTTACTGTTAACATGAAAAATTGCTGTTGTAAGAATTTAATTTGTTGTGAAATAGTTTTCTTTTCTGGGGGTTTCTTTAATTCTTTTGCTTTTATCTCATCAAAAATTGCTTGTTTTCTGTTCTCTCTCCCTCCCTCCCTCTCTCTCTCCCTCTCAGCTTGTTAATACGGTGTATAAAGTGTCCCCTCATAAAAGCTTTATTTGCATCCCAAACCATCGTTATTCCTATTCCTTTATTAACATTATTGCCAACACAATCTTTCAACTTCTTTTTGCAATTTTCCATTACTATTTCTTTCTGCAACAATTTTTCATTTAACCTGCATGTGAAGGAACTGATTTTCCTTTTAAATGCTAAAGTCACTGGGTTGTGGTTTGAAAATGTTTTTGCCAGTATCTCCACTTTGAGAAACACTAGTAACCAAATTCCTAGATATTCCAATTCTTGAAAAAGATCTATGTCTTTCAGAAAAAATAAGTATATTCTTTTGCATCACTACTTTTGTATCTCCATGCATCTACAAGCTCCAAATTGTCCATCATATTAAAAAAAAAAAAACCTTTTGGTAGTTTACCTTGTGTCTTTGATGCTATAATTGAGCTCCACTACCTCCTTTTAGCAAAAATTTAATCAATTTGATTTCTATATATTCCATCTTGTATGTCCATTTATGGAGGCATCATCTTGGTTTTTTGAAGACTGTGTTAGCTATGAAGAAATCATTGGATTGGCAGAAATTGATAAGTCATTCCCCTGCTTCATTTTGATTTCCTAAGTCATACAGTCCATACTGTTTCCTCTTTAATGTTTCTAACTTCAGCATTCCAGTCTCCAGTCACAAGCACCTTATTCTGCCTGCATATTCTGTCGATTTCACATTGAACTTGATCATAAAACACATCAAACTCCTTTTCTTTTGCTTTAGTGGTTGGAACATAAACCTGAATTAAAGGGCTGTCCACAAAGTCCAATTGATATATCATTGATTGCATTGTAGTCAACTACTGTTCTTGCTATACCCTTCCTAATTATAAAAACAACACCATTCCTTCTTTGTGTTTCATGTCTTGAGTAATAAACAGTGTGATCCTCTGACTGGAAGTATCCAATCCCAGTCTGTCTCAGTTCACTGATGCTTAAGATGTCAATTTATAGTTGTTTCATTTCATCTTTCACTGTGTTAAGCTTTCCCGTGTTCATGCTTCTTACATTCCATGTTCCCATTGTAATTCTGTCTTTGCAGCTTCAGATTTTGATTTTCTGTATGGCAATATCAGCAACTAGATGTCCTAAAGGCTTTAATCTAGTCACCTCATAAACACCATTAGTACTCCAAAAGATCCTCAGCTCTACCTCAGTAGCATGTTGAGTACTGTCCAACCTTAGGGGCCCATCATCCAGCATTATATCGTCAGTCATTTTATATTTTCTATCCATGTGGTTTTCTTGGTAAAAAATACAGGAGCAGTTTACCATTGTCTTCTCCCACGCAGCATGACCTGATGCCTTTGCCATTGTCACTAAAGTGATCATTTTACTATATCACTGCTGCCTAATATAGGTGCCTGCTTGCTTTAGCAAGGTAACTGGGATGACCTTCATGCCTCAGGTGATCCTACTGGGAATATATACTCTTAGTATACACTCCTAATGTTATTTGCTCATCCCTCCCAGGAACACCCCCTGCCATGATGAGGCAGTTCAGGAGGGCTTGCATGTAAGCAAGGTAAATTCAGAAATAAAGCAGGCAACTTGAAATCATGGTTTGATTCAAAATGCCAACTGGCAAGAAGTGCTTTCATAATATCTTTTGCACTATCTTGGCAAAGTTCAGATCAAATCAATACTCTAGAATTACTACAGCAGGAAAAAAAAATAACAGCATAAGAAATTACTGCAGTGTAAAAAGAGACAGGCAACCAAAGATGCCTAGCAAGGACTTACAGCGACAGCTCATTCTAACAATTTGACTCTATTCTGGAGAATTATAACTTTCCTTTTGAGTAAATCTCTTTGGGTAAATTGTCATGTCTGGGGAATGACAGCAGAACTTTTGTGTACTATCTGGTAGTTCTATTGATACTGACTCAGTTTGTTCTGAGAAGGCTTTGCAGTCCTTTGCAGAGTTCTGCATAGAGGAATTTTAAGATTAAGTATTATAAGACTATGGATATGGTTTTTTACAAACCACCCTAAAGTCCATAGATGGAATCTAAGTGGACATGAGCTATACAAGGTCCAATTAGGTCCAATAGATTTCTTGATACTCACATTTGATTCTTACCTTCTGTTTTGTTGGTTTGCCTATTAAGATATAACTGCTTGTATCTTCTTACTATTCTCTAGAACTCAGCATTTAGTTGAACATTAAATACTGTTGCCTTTTGCTTGCTACTTCTTTTTAGCTATTCTCAATGTGTCAGTAGAGAGCCATTTTGCCTTCTTTTGCATTTTGCCTTTCAGAATATTTTTGAAGGCTTTCTCTTTTATGTCACTAATTTCAGTCCAGAGTTCTTCGGCACTCTGTCTAATGTAATCCATTACCTCTATTCTTTATCTTCATCACATAATAATAAGAAAGATTGCTGAGGTTGTCTCTTGTTGGTTGGATGATTTTATTTGTTTCTTTTTAAGTTTTAATTTTTTGAGGACTTAGTAATCTGAGCCACAGTCAGCAACAGATGTTGTTTTTGTTGACTAAAGAGAACTTCTCCATCTTGGCTGGCAGAAAATGTAGTTGATTTGAATTTGGTAGTATCCATCTGGCAATGTTCTTGTACAGAGTCTTATTTTAGATTGATGCAAAAAGGTATTTACCATCAACATTGAATTTTCTTGGCAGTACCCTAGTCTGTCTCCAGCTTTGTTTTGTCTACCAAGGCCTAATTTCCCCATTATTCCACATGATATTTTGCTTCCTACTTTATTGTTCTAATCTGTTGACAAGGTGTTTTAACTAGCCATAGAACTGTACAATTTCTGCTTCTTTTGCATCTGTGTTTGGAGCATAGACTTGAATCACCATAATATTGATTGGCCTTTCCTTTGATTTGAATTAAGATCAGTGTATCATTTTGGGAGTGGGGGCGTTATATACATGCACTGACTTGGGCATCCTTTTGTTAATAATAATGCCTACTCCATTTCTTCTATTATTTGCTTGTCCATAGTAGAAGATCTGATGCTCCTCTGATGTGAAGTCACTAATTCCAGTCCATTTCAGTTCATTGATTCATTGAATATTTAATCTTGGCATTTTCATTCTGGCAATATCAAGTTTCCTTTAGCTGGATTCTAACATTATTTTGTAGCATCACATTTTTGCTCCTGGTCACATCAGCATCTGATATTCTTTTGGCTGTACTCCAGCCACATCATAAGGACGAATGCTACTTATACTAGCTCTTTTCAGTAGTTCACTCGATACCTTCCAACTTGGGGGACGGGGGGGGGAGGTCCTTTTCCAGTATCATAGCAACATTGTCCTGCTTGTGAATATGTTTGTTTTTCTTGGCAGAATACTAGAGTGGGTTGCCATTTCCTTCTTCAGTGAATCGTATTTAGTCTGACCCCTAATCTGTGTCCCTCATCATGAGTGACTTTTCTGGGAGTATACACTCTCAACACTGTAGGTCGTAGTGTCCTTGGGATGCATAAGCCCTTTCATCCCTACAATGTATCAGTCCTTGAAGATGGGATTCAATCTGTCATGTTAATATTTCTGACATGGTGTATATCAAGTACTTAATGTATCTGAAACTTGAAATTAAAAGCGGTATCAGCAAAATATGTAAAGAACATACCTTGAGATAGTGCTGGAGTTCCATTAATGTTTTTGGTGGGAAAAAAATGATTTCTTGGTAAGTAGGTCCCATGGAATTTGATCACTGCAAATTAAGTTTAGATGCTTACCTTATTTTATACCTAATATTATATCATGTCCCCATTTTCGTTTTGTTATGTATGGAAATTTTAATACGTAATATTTAGTGGGAAAAATGAGTGCCAGCATGTCCCACCAACTTTCAGTATTCTAAATGTCCATGTGTAACAAAGAAAAAAAGGAATAAATGTTATCAAAGCCATCAACCAGAATTTTTGAACTAAATTTTGGCTCATGCTTCAGTCATGGGGAAGCATAAAAGGCCAGGTTTATATGTCTTCTGGAACAGCAACTGATAGCTTTTTAAAATTTGCAGGGAAAATAGTGTTTACATGTAGAATTAGTACAGGTAATACTAAAATGTCAAGCATAGCAAATAACTATAATTACATTAATAATTGAGTAAAATTTCTTTGAATTTAGGGAACTGATTTTTTCTAATGAAGAGTTGAAAGTCTTTCCCAATATAATAATCTACATTATATGTTATTTGTACAGAATCCTGGATGTTATCCAGTAGAACTGGAGAGAGGTTCTCGAGGCTTTGGATTTAGCCTTCGTGGAGGGAAAGAGTATAATATGGGGCTATTTATTCTTCGACTTGCTGAGGATGGGCCTGCCATTAAAGATGGGAGAATTCATGTGAGTATGTATTAGCCTTAGTTGGTTAGGTCATCTATTGTTCTTAAAAGCTAATTTGCTGATATTCTAAAATACAGTTCCATATATAAGTATTGATACTGTTCTCTGCTCTTTTTCTTAAATGTGAATTTATACAGTTATTTTCAGATATCAAACTACACCATGTTTATTTTCACCCAGCTTTGGCTGTAGAAGGAGGGAATTCTTGAGACAGGAATGTTAAAATGAACCAACTCCAGTTATGAAAGTGCAATTATATTTTTTGTAAAAAGATACTAGCTAACGAAACGTAAATGTCTAAGATTTCAGAGCAAATTCACTGGAACATAGTCACATTTTAAAAAATCTACTCTGATATGAAAGGAAAAGTGAGATAATGACCAAATTCAAGGATTGCATGGGAGTTCTGTCCAGACCTGCTGTGTTCAGTTCATATAATTAGGGTATTTAAGAATGTAATGTACTTTACATATTTTAGTACCATGTTTATTGAGTGTACCCTAGTATTGGGATGAAAGTAGTACATTAAGCATCTAATATAAATGCAATTTTTTTCTACATTATCTTTAATGAACTTCAGAGAAAATCCTATGTTTTCTGAAAACTGTTTTCTTTCTTGTAGAATAACTTTTAATTGTAGTAGCTGAACCAGATGGTCCTCTGTACTTGATCTCAAATCTGCCATTGCCATTGCAAATCATTGGTTACTCATCTTTCTTAGGAATACACTTCACATTTTCTTGGCCCATGTGGTATTCTCATTTCTTGAGATTCATATAGTGGTCAGGGATAATATATACAAGTACCATAATATGTGAAACATCAGTCCTAACATGTTCTTTTTATTGTTTTGCAAGAATATATCTGCATCAGAACCTTGCTGTTAAGTTTGCAATCACTTAAGCATCCTCAGCTAAAGAAATAGAAATTACTGATAGGAAAATAAATAGAATTTAACATGATAGTTCCCAGAGTGAGGATTACATTTCAAGTTTATAAACTCAACAGTTAGAAGTATTGGGAGTCTGATTTTTCTCTTTTTCTCTGTTCCTCTGCTGGACTGTAGAGCTGAGGAGTAGAAGCTTAGCTTCAATTTTAACATTTAATTCTTGTTCCATGTATAGTGGACAGTGCTTTATAGAGAGAAAATAGAGATTGAGAATAAGTATCAAGGGCTGAGATTCAGCCTATCCTTTTGGACCCCACTAACTCCTGTAAATTTCAGTTGGATCTAACCCTCTCCCCACCCCTGCTCTACCAAAGTTTACCCCCCCCCCCTTTCCAGAACACCATCTTTTCAGAAATACTTCCCAGGTCCTCTGATTACCATAACAAATAGGAATAATTCCTTCTATTATGTATTTAGCCATCTGGAGTGTTACCCAGGCTTTTACATTAGTTTGTACAATGTACAGCAATAGATTGCCCTTTATACAGCCTCTAGGTCACCTCCATCCTCATAAACTAAGGTCATAGCTAGCCTATAGTATCACCATTCAGCAGCCTTACGTAGATTACAGTTCATAAAGTCTGAAGCTTTTTGAAATATCTGGAGAGTAACTCTGAGGAGTCCCTGCTGGTGATCAAGGTTTTATTAAGAAGTAAGTGATGCTATGGATTCCTCTAATATTTGTCATAATGTTAGTATTAACTGGCTTTCAATTAAATATGATAACTTAAGATAGAATTTTTAAATAAATAAATTATAAACAAAATGCTAACAAGGCAAATACTCTTTACAACTTAATGAAGATGCTTTTTTCCTCAGGTTGGTGACCAGATTGTTGAAATCAATGGGGAACCAACACAAGGAATCACCCATACTCGAGCCATTGAATTGATTCAGTCTGGAGGAAATAAAGTTCTTCTCCTTTTGCGACCAGGGACTGGATTAATACCAGATCATGGTAAGGGGGAGCCAGCTATTGAGTGTACTACAGCTGATATATTCAGCACAGTGCAGATGTATTTATAGATAATTTTGAATAACTAGATGTTCAGACTCTAGAAAATGATGAATGCCCTATTTAAATATGTACTTACATGTTGGATTTCACCTTGTAGCTACTGTTTTCTGAATAGCTTACAGTGACAACTAAAATAGTTCAACAATAACACTAAAAGTTAAAGTTGTGCAGTGTAAATTTATTGTGGCAGAGCACACAACTTGATGAATATTTCAGAAATATCCTGAATGTATATAGATTACAATAAGAATTTAAGAGCCCAGGAAGGTAAAGACACTCACAAGACCATAGTGCAGGGGCAAAAAAGCTGCTTGAGGAGAGGATTCAAGAATTGGAATGCTGCCCCTGAAGATGCCCTCTTGTCAAAAGCCATCTATCCCACCCCTGCAAGCATTGGCCATTGGCCTTAGTTTATCTTAATTCTGGGAGTATATGTGGGAGGTGATTAGAACTTTGATTTACATTTTCTTTAAAATACTCTTGATTTTCCACTTTAAAAGCACTCAAAGCTATATTAGGTACCTGGTAGTTTAACAAAAAGGACAGTATGAGCTTCTCAAGATACAATTTATGTGTCTTTTTATATAAGACAGCTTCCCCATCGCTGATACAGAAAATCATATACGTATAGCTAAAAAATCAAGTTCTAGTGTGTCTTCTCACTGCTTATTACACCAGATAAAAAGCTAATGGACTTTCACTTCTCTCTCTTTTCTCTGCTTTGTATGCTTTATTAGACCAATTAGACTTTTTAAATGTATATATTAAAAAGAGCAAAACCACCCTATACTAATCTTAGATTTCTAAATCATATTCCCTTAACCTGGTGCCTTCCAGGTGCACTGGAGATAGAGACATCTCTAGTGAACATTTTTAATCAACATCCCTGTACTGGTAGGGAATTCAGGGCATTGTAGTCCCCAATGGATCTGGAAGGTACTGGGTTGTAGTAGGCTGTCTTGAAACTTTCTGATGGGATACTGAATTTGGAAATAGTCCAAGTCAGCTGAGAGACTCTCTTCTCTCTTAAACTCTTATACTCTGCTCATAAATTATATATTTCTTTTACTCTTTGCTGTGATTTTGGTATATAGTCCTGGGCTTTTTCTCTTCCTCCCTCAGGTTTGGCACCTTCCAGCTTGTGTTCCTACGTGAAACCTGAGCAGCATTAAAGCTTTCAGTGCTTTCTTTGGTCTTTCCTTAAGACTTGGTAAATCTGCATGTATTCTGATTAGCCACTTTTTATTTGCTTTGAATAATAGTTTTTCATTCTCTTAGTTTACATTTGACATGAGTTGCAATAAGTGTAGGGCACAACTAATGTAGAAGAATCAATTTTAGAAGCCCTTAATCCACATAGTCCATTATCCAAGGACTGGAAACAACACAAGCCGCTTGCTGTACCAGTAAAAATCACTTTTTCCATCCTAGCACACCATGTATTGTTGATGTATCTTTGATTGAAGTTCCTGCATACTTTAGCATCATTGTGAAGTTTTGTCTCCTTTTTGACAGTCTTTCTTTTCCAAAACCTGAGAATGAAATTCTAACTCTGGTACATAAATTAGAGGCAATGTGATTTATCTCATTTCTCCCCTCCCTCAATAAGAAAAGTTGGTGAAGAAAAGAACTGAGTATCTGGTGGCCATCCTTTACTTAGCCAAACTGGCCAATTTAGTTAGGATGTTGTGCTGTACTGACCACATTTGGGACTCAATTAGCCCTGCATGCTTGCATTTCTGAGATAAAAATCTGTAATCCATAGTGCTACAAAATGGAAAAGAGTGGTAAATCAATTAAAACTGAGTAATGGATAAGGAAAGCAAAATATATATGCTGAGAATAAAATCATCTGCACGAGAAGTTACTTTATTGATTTAATTGTCATACAAAAAAGGTATAACTGAAATTGACTAAAAGACAAGTGAATGTAGTTTCAGAGATTTCGTGTTGCAGGAGAAAGAGTTGAGGAGACACAGAGACCAGGGTTCCAGAAGCAATGGTTATCCTATATTAGAAGAGTTATTAGCAAAATAACTAACATTGGAAATCTAAATTTTCTCATATCATACATAAATATGTTGGTTGACTATAGTATAAATTGTTTTTGTATATTTCAATAATTACAATTGGAAGGGCTTTACATGTTGATAACACATCCTTACTGTTTTACTCTAATTCATTTTTTTTTTATTTTGATATAGGTGGTTTGGATAGTTTTAATCCAATATCCTCAAGTGTTACACACAGTGAACAGACTTCACTTCCCTCATCATCACATTCTGCTTACACATCTGAAGCATCTCATTTGCCAGAATCAAAAGCTCTAATGAAAATTCAGATGTCTGAGAAACTAGAAGAACTGAAGAACACTGTGCCTGAAAAGAAAAGCACTTTAATGGAAAACCATTTGGAGATTAAGAATGCAGTTTGTCCACAAAGGAATATGAACAAATGGGACCACACTTTCATTCCAGATAGTAAAGTGATGCACAGTTCTGCACAATTAGCATCGGGCAATGCAGCCAGTAAAGGCAGATCGGCTAGTCCCCAGAAATTGAGCAATAGTCCCTCCAGAGACCATAATCAAGTTCCATGCGATAGATCTAAGAAAGATGAAACTAAACATGTTCAGAAGAATTGCTTAGACCACTTGCAGAGTGCAAAAAGAAATGAAAGTGGTAATCTGGAAACCTTTGAAAATGCTGATATTGGGAAAGTCCTGGCCAGGGGCAAAAGAGATCAATCTGTCAGTCCCCAAAAATATCCAAAGAGAGAGAGAAGCAGAGAAAAACTGAACATAGACTTTCAAAGTAAAACAGCTACTGATGATACAAGTTCTAATAGGCTGCTAAAAACTGAAAAGGTAAAATTAGGAGTCATGAAGGAAATAATAAAGCTGAATTTATCTGGGAAAAACACAAAATGTCCTTCAGAGACACCCTATGCCAAGGCCAGAGAGCAGTCTCTCTCACTTTCTAAGACTAATCAGCCTGGAAAGAAAATCTTGGAAGGTGAGAATATGAAAAGTTCTAAGCAATTTGAAATGTCAGGTCTTCCTGATGATTCACTATTTTCTGTAGATAAAAACTCTAGACTTGAAGCAGATGAGCCTGTTTTCCTGAAAAAATTCACAGATAACTTGGAGCTAGCTGATAAAACCAAAGACGATGGGATTTTCAAATCTGAGAGCAGTTCTCCAGTAAAGAAAACAATAGTTCCTGGACCTTGGAAGGTACCAAGTACAAGTCGAGTCACAAAAGCAATGGGTTTGACTAACAAACGGGTTTGACTGACCAACTTTTTTAACAACATATTTTAATCAAGTTTTTAAATGTAGTCATTAAACTTTTCCCCAGAAAACTCTTTTTTTTTTTTCAGACACTGTGATTGACAGAATGGAAAGTACATTTGATTTGATCTTTTATTAGGCTGCATGAAGGACCTTTTTGGATTGCATAAGAGAAACTCTTCAAAAGCTGTTGTCCTTTTGTCTCCTTTGAAGATGGTGTCCTGCTGCTCCTGATGTTGCACTGCTAAGATTTTCTGATAGTATTGTATGTTAATGAACATTATTTAATGCCTATTATTAGTGGATCATAACTCACTACTTGTTCTTGTGCCAAGTTACCTACTGTAGCCCATTGAATCTTTTCCTGCATTTTCCACTGCCACAGAAAAGGATTTTGTTTAAAATGGGTGTTTACTCAGGCATGCTGCATGTTTACATAGGGAATACTTCTAAATTCTCACTGCTGAAGCAAAAGGTTAGGTGGGTGTAGTTCTCTTGATTCTCTGGAGTCAGGAAGCCAACATACACTCAGTTGCCATCTTCACAAATCTATTCTTTCCTTCCCAAACTTCTCAATCAGCAAAATAACTGTAAAAAGGACAGTAGCCCTTTATCAATAAGTATGTGATTCCTTACTATTTTATTCTATGTAATTTTATTATTTTACATGTGACACAAATCTGAGAATTGAGCAGTTTGGAAGTCATTTGATGAGATCATATGAGAGCAAGTGATTTCAGGCTCATAATCAAATTATTTCTTGGTACTTTATTCTTCTTGTTACAACACATTTTAACATTAGAAATTAGACATGCAGAGAGTGCATATGGTTCTGAGCTTTGTGTCATGCTGTTTGTCAGAAATTTCCATCTGTTGTTGGTCGTTTTTTGGTTAATGCTGGCTAAATACTTGAACATTTGTTGCCTTGCTTGAACATTTTAAGATTTTAAATCCCAGCAAGCAAAATAAATCAGAACTCACCCACCAAAGTCAAATTCTTAAGTACTGTCCTTGTGCCTATTAACAGAAGCCTGTTACACTGGCTTCCAAGTTTGTATATAAACGTATTTCCAAATTCAAAAGGTCTTTATGAAATTTCTCTTTTGCTTGTGCATGGTTACAATGATAATGGGAGGAATGTTATCAGTAGAGCACATTATTTCTTCAGGGGTGTAGGTCATTGGAGTGGCAACCTCTAGAACAATGAACTCCTATAATTTTTAGATAATTCTAGCAATGAATTTGGTTTCCTGTTAATGGATTGAGTGAAAGGCATTTGTCAGTTCAGAAAAATAAAAATATATTCTTACGGACTTTAACAGTCCCTGTGGATAACTTAAATAATCATTTTGTATCTTTGTGCGTGCATGTGGGTATATATTTAAGACATTTAACTTCTTTACTGAATTGCTCTCTTCCAAGTTCCTCATGCTTTTCATTTTCATTTTCATTTACAAGCCATTTTCTGTTCATTTTTCTTTTATCAGTGTACATATTCTTCATTTTTCCCCTTAAGATTTTTCCCCTCCCTCATTTCTTCAAGCCCTTCTTGTCCTACTGTCTTTAATTTTCTAGCTATCATGATTTCCTAATTGTGTACATGCCATAGTAGAACAACCATTGTCTGTGATGTCTATATTCATTGTTTTATATTGGTTTGGCAAGTTTGTTTAGGCCCTAAACAAAATAGCAGTGCCATAGTCCTCACACTAGCAGTAGACATGTATATATTGTGCGCACTTGTTTGATGTTGCCTCCAAGAACTATTTGATGCTAATAGTCTCCCTTTGTAATAGTGAAACGTGTTCATTTTTCACTATTTTAAACAGAAAAAGTGTAAGGCTCCTGCTTTTTGCACAATAGCATTAAATCCCATACTAGCAAGCTCCTTCTCACCAGTATATTAAGAACTCATTCTTTCTAGGCTGAACCTTCCTTTGCACATGCATAGCTCTGCAGCTTAAGTTATTACCTCACTTGCTAGCCACTGAGGACTTCAGAGATGCTGTCTTCAGAAGATTTTTGCTTTGCATTCAGATTGAGATTGCTGACATACAATTCTCCCCGGTCTCTGGTTTATTTGCTTTGAATGCTGCAGATGTAATAGGGAATAGATGGGTGCAGATTTCTAGGACTTTGGCAGTCTCTTATAATCTCAAAATGGTTTGTGATTTTTGAGGGGGATTGAAACTTCTGTGAAACTGCCTGCCCTACTGCATGATTTCAAGTTTAAACTGTTTCCAAAGAGGATATAGCCTGCTACTTTGGAAGTGCTGGTTTTGTTTGCAGATGTTCTTCCTCTAGTGCTGATCCTATTAGCCCAATTTATCAGAAACAATCAGACCAATAACAAATGATATATCAGCATCCCGGTCAACTGTTAAAAAGCTCTGGACTCTCCAGAAAGAATGTTGGTGATTAGCATTTCCTCCTAGTATGATCATAATGAGGACTATGAGGATACTGAGAATGACTAATGGAAGGGTTTAGGCCAAAGGCAAACACAGCTTCAACAAGTTAAGGTTATTGAAGCTATTTTGACGCACAGGTGACAAAAATACAGGAAGCAAAATTGCACAAGGGTACCTATTCGTAAGAAATTACTTTCCATGTGATAACCAGGTATGATAACTTTCACATAAACCATAGTAGAACGTGAGTGCACCAATGTGCAAAATCCATACATAATAGCTCCGAACAAAACTTCTATGATTCATTTGTACTTGGACATATATGATAGAGCTTTAGACTTCTTCAATAACATTATCCCCATTACTATTTATTAATTCCCCTAATTTTTGAAAATAGCTTGTATAATAGACAAATTGTGGTTCAGAACAAGGTGAGTTAAAAACTCAATTCCTTGGACTTGGACTTCCTGAGTATTTCTTTTAGAATGAAGCTATTGAGGCAAAACAAATCAGTTCCAGAAGACATCAACTACTTTGGAAAAAAAGTCATCTGATATAGCTTTTTGATGTGTATTAATTGTGTGCTCTTATCACTTACAAACTCAAAAGTTACTGTAGGATTATATGCAAATATTGTAGAATATTACTATGAAAATATTAAATATTTGAGTTAGCCTATGTGAATTGACAAATATCATGAAGCAGCCTTCAAAAAGGTTCTATATATTTTGTCACAAAATAATGTTGAATGAAAACTGCAGAAATATCAAAATAATAAAACTGAAATAACTATTTTCCCACTATTCAGATGCTCTTTAGCCATTTAATTATGTGACCTACTTTGTTGTCTTCTGTTTGATGTGAGCCCTCTTTTTTGGAAACTTTGTATCTGTACTTAACTTGATAATAATGACTTAGCAATGTGGCCTTGGAATGTTCAGAAAATATGGTTGTATTGGATGTAAATGTTTATTTTGTACAGCACCTTTATATATTCACTTCTCAGATTCTGATTAGAAAGATCTGTAAATCACTCATTATTTTTTATATAGATACATTAAAAAGAACATCTGATTAATAATTTTGATTCTCTATGTTAGCCCTCTTAATGAAAACCTTTCTCGAACTGTTGTTCTGTAAATTAGAATGTAGCTAAGCACTGAATGGTTTTTACTGCACTGGTGGACTCTTTTCCATATCCTTAATTGAGTACTCTGTTGGTATCTTTAGTTCCAGAGTAATTATGAATGCTTCCAAATCAACACTGGCCTCCAGCTATTTATCATTATTTCATAGAAAGGCCCCACTGAACCCAGAGATAATTTTAGATTTTAAGATTACAGACAGCATTTAATTTTGAAGAGTTTCTGATAGACCTCTCTGCAACTGCCTTGGGAAGACTTGGGAATGGCATACAGGAGGATGAAGCAGGTGTAGGCTAAAGTAAGGGTAAAAGTAGGAATAACTTGGGGATAACTGGAAAGAGTACACTGGGAAAGCAGGGAAATTGCTTTATAAATAGGGAGGAAAATGTATGTATTATGGGGTTCTTTCAGAAACAAAAAAATGAAACACTATGATTACATGAGCTGGAAGTATGTGGGGAGCGTGAGACTGACCACAAGTAAAATATGGATTTGTATTTTGTGGTTCAAGCTTCATCTTCACTGTATTCAGGATCTTTAAAAAATTACTTTTAACCACAAGAGTTTGCCATTTTATGCTCTACCTATATTGTGACATCACATGCATGTACAAAAGGGGTAGAGCTTTTGAAGCAACACTGCTTTCATCATCTTAACAAAAGTGCTGGATCTTGCAGGCATCTCTGCATGGCCCCACAGTTTTTGTACACACTGATACATACTATTTGGAGAAAATTTATGAGCAATGGTTTTGGTTCATTTTTCTCACTGCTTTAGCACACGTTTTAAGCCCTGTCTAGGAGCAGAAGATTCTTATTTCCAATTCACCCCTATAGACACTTGCAAGCATATACTCTTCACCTGAAAAAAAAAAAAACCCACATCACTGGTATCTCCATCTTGACTTCTGTTTTATTTGTCTTTGTTACATTTAATTTCAAATACTGTCATACAAGTTCCTTCAGCAGCTTACAAGAGTGCCAATAATAACTTTATATATAACATAGAATTTTCTAAAGGTATTGCCTCCAGAGATTAAAAAGAAGTGAATTGTTTGAAAGAGAAAACCTATTGCATAAATGGTAGTGATAGTAGCCAAACTTTGGTAATTCCTTTTATGGGTCCATTACCTTTTCTTTTTTTTTTCCTGTGGACCTAGAAACACAATTACATCACAGATAGAAAACCATATATGTATAAACTGATTTGCACAGATGGAAGATTGAATATGTATATCAGAAAATGTTATATGTCCACAGTTCTAACATTTACCAATATTGGGGAAGGTATGTAAAACTTTTAATAGACCTGAAAATTTCTTCAGAACCAACCCAGTTTTCATGGTGCTAACTGCTAGCAATGAGCAATAACATCTATCCCAGCAAAAATCTGAGTTTCCAATTGCTTGTGTAAAACTTCTGTGGCATATAAACATTTTTATTCTTTCATTACTGCTTTGCTAATTCAGATCATTATTTGGAGAATTCTCATAGTACTTTCAAAATAAACCCCCCTGATGTGTGACAGGTCTACTGTTAGCCACCTTCTGTTGCTGCTGTACGTGTTACTAAGCAACGGAAGGCTGAACTGTAAAATGCCTAAAGAGGATATACTCAGTTTATGGGAGAAAATTTCATTCTCACCTCTCAGTACAGCAAAATAAGTAAGACCAAGTACCATTCAAGAACAGGCTTTTTGTCAGAGGCACTTAGAAATGTAAAAAATAGGTCAACTACAACCTACAGAAAGTAGGTGAGCTTGCCAGAAACATACACCATATTACGCTATTAAGTACCAAATAGCTATGATGCTGTATTAATCTTACAGCCACACATGAGTTTAACAGCAGGCAGTTTCAGACCAGAATAACACTGGCTTTTTATCTTTTTATTCATTCAAGAAACCTTGTTGCAAGACATCTAATTTCATACTGCTTCGCTCCATAGGAGCAGCTGGTTTAGCCAACTAAGATGAGCACATTGGAATTAAGTTATTCAGATTTATTTAACCATTTCTTCAAGCCATGGGCTCATTGAAAATTATAAATTCTTAAGAAAATGTATGAAAAATACAGCATTTGTATTGATGCGAGGACTGGCATAATTAGAAAAGCACCTTCAATGACCATGCCAAGCCTATGTAGTACTGCAGAGAATGTTTCTGCCCAAACATTCATGGGCTGCAGCATCTTCTTTCTCAAGGTTTGATTTTCCACAACTAAAAAATCATGTGAACAAAGTTAACATTAAAATCAAAAAATAAATTTTAAACTCACATGAAAGCAAAACATTCACTGGTGAAACTTATGACTAGAAGTAGCAGTCCCTGCTGTTTTTCCTTCTTTTCCCAAGATATTTATGAGCTACTATTTGAAAGTCAAGTACATAAAGAACAAGAAAGAATTATATCCCAGTTCATATGTGCATTTCATGCTTTTATAAGCAAGACTGCCAAGGTTTTATTCAAAGAACATATATATTAGATGCATCTATTTAGAATACTTTCCAAACAAGTAGCTTTATACCTCTGCCTCATTTAATATTTTTAAGAATAACTGAAGTCCTAAAAATGAGATCTCTACCATGGATGCCTACTGCTTCAACAGCATCCTTGAAGACCTCCAACTGCACCCAGAATACTTTTTTTTAGATTTGCTTAATTTTTGAAAAAAAATACTATTAACAGATCCAGGCTCTTTGTCCTGTTTAATCCTCCACAGTTTTCCTTTTATAAAAAAGATTTTGCTAGGAATAATCATACACAGTTTGCCTATGGGTACAGATCCAAGATTTATTCTGATTCTTTGATAAGCTGCTTGTCTTTTGTGATTAATCATATCTTCCACACAATACTTTTTTGGGTGGTACTTACAGTGGTTTCACGATTTCCAAATGTGCCCCAAAACATCTAAGAATTTGGGATTATCACTCTGAATATTACATGCTTCTGAAGCCTGAATCTAAATTAATTGTTTTACTTTGGCAGTTATACTGATTGGGCTATGTTTGAGCAGACAGAATATAGACATTATGTAAACAACACGTTTAGAAAAAACAGACAACTAAGCTATCCTCACAAGATACTTAGCAACACTTACTCTGATATTGAAGCCCAGCAAATCACTTATAACTCCAGAGACTGCAGATAGGATCACTACCCGTGTAATATTATAGATCAAGGGATTCATTGTCAATCCATATAGTCTGAATGGTGTATCTAACTCCTGTGGTAAGAAACAGAAATATAATGCAGCAGTCTTGTTTTTATACAATAAAGGGATCATCAAACATCTTTTTAGAAATAAACAGAGGAACACTAACAGGCAAAGAAATGCAAATTATTACATTATTTTTACCTTCAAGAGTTTGGTGGAGAGTTTAAGGACGTTATTTACTAGTGTAAGCTGCTCTTTCTTGTTTGGTTTCTTTTCCATCTTTAAATACAAGTTTATCTGCAGGAGAATTATTTAAATATTGCTTATTAAAGTTATGCAATAATCCAAGTATGCCTTGTAATTGCAGGAATAGCATATACATTCAACTTTCCTTTATATTCCCTACAAAGCTAACATAAACATTAGCAAAAGCAACTTTTATAAATGAAATCATTTTTTCTTGACCAATAAAAACAACAGCTAAAATTTGGTAGGGTATGCTTTTAAAAAAATCTAGATTAAATGCTCAAATACTGTACATGGTCATGCACAAAGTCAAACTATCTGCCTTGATACCAACAGTCTGATCATGAAATACATACACTAACTCCAAAAGGGGAGAATGCAATGGCTGCTTTTCCCCTGTTAGCTTAGACTATATGAAAGATGGTGATGACAGACCCTAGAAAGCATGTCTCCAAATAAAACCTAGATGGATAGATGCTTTAGTTGGAATATACTTTAAGAGCCTGACCAACAGCAAAAAAAATGACAGAAGTATGCATTTTTAATTAACAGATTTGGGGGAAAAAAAATAACCCTATGGAAATTTGTTTTATAAAAGTTATCCACAGGCAGGCAGAGGGAAAAGAATATACAAAGCTACACAGGGTGTTAAAGACCTATTCATTGAGTAAAATCACTTCTCTCTTCCATTTTCATCAAACAGTGCCCATGCTTTAGCTGTCTGCAGGGTTTTTTGAAAATGAAGACGCTGAAATTTGTTACCCAAAAAAAATCCACAACCTTGTACCTTGGAGTTATAAACTCATGCACCAGACAAAAGGCCTCCACAAAAGCTATCCAATCCTTGATCTTTGTCTTAACAGTGCTTGGCTTAAAAACATGCCTTTCTTCAAGATTGACAAACTTAAGTTTACGTGTTGGGTAACTAATATTTTATGAACAGTTCAAAGATCTGCTACCACCAGAAACAGCCTCTGAATACTTAACAAAATAAACAGCAAATTAACATTAACTGAAAATTTGTATTTAACTTGCTACATTACTTTTAGATAATAATTTATTAATCTGACATAATGACAGAGAAATAGTACAAAGAATCCAAAAATACCTGCTCAGTAAGCAGAATTGAAATATTACTATATTTCTTGTTTGTTTCAGAGCCTAGCGATGCCAAACGCAACAAGAATAGGAGCAGGGCAGTTTCCCAGATCAGGAATTCCCAATTGTAAGCAGCATTCAAAAATGTCTTGTGACCTTTTAAAACCTATGAAAAATAACACAAAAATCAGCAAACAGACTGGAACTTAACTCTGCTCTAGAACAGAGCTTGGCTAATAACTTCACACAATTTAATAGTGCACCCTGCACAGTAAGAACACCTCTGTGTCCACAAGACATAAGAGGACTACATGTTACTTTAGCACATGTTCTCAAATCCAAATTAGTTCATACAGCAGAAAAAAGGGATATACTTACAGAATGAAAGAGGGATTCTTTTTCTTTCATTTACTGATCCTCCCCTATCCTCCCCGTTGTAACTGTCATGTCAAAATTTCTCTAGCCTTGGATATATAACTGCAGATGCTGAGCCCTTCATCTTCCAACTCTCTAAAACAAAACTCACTCATTCATCTTCTAATCCATAGCTTTCCAGAGTGAAGCTTATGATGGGATTATAATAAATCCCTGAAATACTCAAGTTTGGGAAAAAACAATATTGTGCATTGTTCAAGAATCTAAGTTGCCTAGAGTTATTCCAGTGTTTGAGATGGCATACAAGCTGATAAACAAACCAATATGTTTCTTAGCACTACAATGCATTGTAAATGCTCCTCCACTAATGCATGCAGAGCAGCCATAATCAAGAAAATTATTCTAAGTAAAAGTATACACCAATAAAGAAATACCTGTCATGACACTCATTACAGCCTACCAACAGAAACAGCAGATTAATACATAATTCAGCGAAAACAGACTATATGAAAGGACTACAGCACATCATGATCAAGTTAAATTTGAAATTGACAGAACATCCAAGTAGATCATGAAGTGCTCATGTGCAAGCTCCAAGGTAAGCTAAAGAAGAAGAAGAAAGATAGTCGATTTCCACAATATGATCTTGAACATATACCCGCTGTTTTCAAGGAGAGCATCAGGAATCGCTTTGAAGTCCTGAATGTCATTGATAGAGAACTAGAAGAATTATGGAATGAACGTAAAGAAGTCATTGAGCATTAATGTGAAAAAAGACTGCCGAAAATGAAGAAAAGAAGAAACCAAACTGGATGTCAGAACAAACTTTGGAAATTGCCAAGAAGAGAAAAGAAGCCAAAGGTAAGAAAGACAAAAAAAATCTCAAAAAGGAACTTAACAAAGAGTTTCAGAATGCTGTTAGAAGAGACAACAACATCTGTAAAGACACTGAAGATGTAAACAGACATGGAAAAGCAAGGGCAGCCTTTCAAAAGGTCTCTGAACTCAGGAGGAGGTTCCAACCTTGAATTGGTATGCTAAAGGACACCAATGGACAGATAGTGACCAATTCAAAGGAGATCAAAGGAAGATGGAAGGAGTACATTGAAACATGTACAGTACACATGTCAACATCCAAGATACCTTTAGAAGATATTCTCTACTTACAAGAACCTCTAGTTCTAGAAGATGAAGTTAGATCAATA